ATTTCAAATACCATAACTTCTACCACGCGAGGCCTCGTTGTGATTCACAATTTCCTTTCAACACTTGGGTCGATCGTTGATTGGGAATAACTGCAGGCTATTTGTCCTACTTGATTTGTCTATCCTACATCTTCCAGTAAAAGCTCGTTCTTCGAATGTTTTTATCGCCAAGCTATGAAGAAAAGATGTCCTGTTCATCTTCTTTGAAGAAAGACTTGATGGAGAAAAAGTAGAGGGCTCTTCACTCAGCAGCACACTATCGTTAGCTATCCCACTTATTCTGTGGTTCCTCTCCTTTATTCTCCTTTAGCTTTTATAGAAAGAGCATGTGAGCATTTGCTTGAGCCTTCATGAAAAGAGCAGGTACGCTTGTAGTGAAGCAATTTTCCCGTCGCGTAGTGAATTATTGATATGCGGCTACACGGATCCATCACTTTATGTTTTTGAACGTGCATTCAATGAAGAAGAGCTAAGCCGTCGTGGCTTGGTCTGCAAGGGCCCATCTTTCCACCACTACTTTGTTTTTTATCTGCCTCATTAAGTGTGCTTTTTCCTTTGTAAAGACTCCTGCCGAGCGGTTATAACATTAACCTGACATGGAAGAAGAACCGTCCGTCTTCTCAGAAAAACATATTGCCTACAGGAAGGACTTTATTGTCCGAGGTAGTTGTAATGCGCAATCATGACTGTAAGCCCGTCCCCAAGTCCACACCCTATTGTTAGACCTTCCGTCCACTCTTGCTGTTCCGGTTATTTTCGTTTCTTAGTCTTCTTCCTGATATTCATGTACAATTGTTGCTGGCGGGTAGCTTTGCTATGGCAGCCTCTTAATACAAGCAGTAGTTCGGCTGCTGAGAAAATCAGGTAAACTCTCATCCTATTCGAAAGTTCCGTAGAAGTGCACTTTATCACGCACATTCCATCTATTTTAGCCCCAACTTTGGAGCTGTTTTTCTTCAGTGATGTAGTCTTCAACGTTTCGTTTCTTTTTCTCCGATCCTCTCCCCGGGTATTTCTTTAATTCCCGCATTTCTTACTTTTTTGGGAGTTAGATCTGAAACCTAACATTTGTAAGATTTCGATTTCGCGAAGTTCTCACTGTGGCTGTTGTGCTTTTCAATAAGGAGCTGTGCATGTGCGGAACTTGCGAATATACCTCTAAAGATTGTTCCGGGATTTTGTAGCTCGTTTCAGTCAAGTTTAAAAACAAAGAGATACAGAAAACTTTTCAAAACAGAAACGAGAAAGACGCAAAATCGGTGTCAGGAGGTTTCAGCTATATTCGGGACGTAACACCCTTGGCAAACTGAATGGAAAATTTTAAACCTTTTCTTCGTTTTCTCAATTTTTCTCCATTTTTTCAACTTTCTTTGTTATTTCAACGCCTTCAAATAGAGTTCGATGACTGGCGATGCCTCTCTCAAGTAAGTACCAGAGCGCTACCATTTAAAGACTACGGAACCGTCGTTTCACTAGTCGGATCGCCTTTTTTATGCCTTGCTGTCTTCCATGATTCCGAGTTTTCATGTCCTTAGCTAGCTAAAAGCAGGCCTCTTCATAATGGATGATTCAACATTTGTGAAAAGGATCTCTGTAAAGGGAGGTCCACTATTCAAGTTGGTACTACGACTGTTCTCGTTGTGTGGTTTTTGTACTTCCTGACTCTGAACAATACCCGCTGAGGATTCAGATCTTCCTTTTCAGCCTACTGGAGCAGGGAAACATCTGCAGTTGAGCAATATGTGTGCTTAGTCAATCGATGCTTTAAAGGCACAGTTCACGATAATTTTGAAATACCTCTTTTTATTCGAAAGTGGAACTATAGGTTGGGAATAGTTCATTGGTAGAGTAGAAAGCGGGAGAACTCGCCGATTTTGTGAAACTAATGAACCTAGGGGTTGGACGAGATTACTATGATGGAAATAACATGGAAGGGGTAGTCGGGCGAGATTTCAGTTGTTGCACTTGGGCAAAGAACTGACTACATCAAGCCACAACTGCACAGAACTGCCTTTTACTGTGGCTATTAGTCATGACAAATTGTTTGAACTCCCTACATTCCCTTTACACTTCTCTTGTGAGGGGTGCAGCATCTACAATGCCATTGAAACTCGTCCGAGGATACAGTCAAAGTTGTGGGATGTATGTGTATCCCTGTTTTTTTTCTCGTGGTCACAGTAGAACTCTTCAAACTAACAATTTTATGAAACTAGTAACAGCAATTAATGAGTAAGAATACGATAAGAATAGATCGAATAATTGATGAGGTAGTGGAGCTGGGTGGCTAGTGTAGTGGAGCTGACGACGAACGGCGGTGGCGTCACGACGACGACAGTAAAATCCGAAATAGAGAATCGCTACGTGTGTTTTTCTTGCCCTTTTATACGGTAGTTCCCGCGCCATCCTTGCCAACGGCTCGCTAGGTGGTCAGAAGAGGACCACCCACCGTGAACGCGGGGCGGTCACCGGCCACATTTGGCCAACCTTTCTGACATGCCGGGGGGTAAAAAAGAACTTTGTGGCTCTACTCCACAATACCGTAACAGTTTATAACTCTTGCATCTTGTTGGTGGCGGCCCTAATCTTGTCCCGCAATCTGTTCTGCGCCCTTTTCCGGTGTTTTCGATTGACACCATGAAGCCCACCACTGCTTCCCTCTGGGAAGGCCGGCGGTCCTGGGTGTGGTGCGTTAGGAACGAAATGGTCGCGTCGCGGTGAGAGGGGCGTCGCGCGCGAAGGAATGTAGCAGGATGCAGCAGTAGGTAAGAATCACAAGAACAAAAGTACCAATAGTAGAATGATGCATAAAATAATGATCGCATATCGATCGAGCTGTATGAAGAACGCTAGAGCTGTAGTAACAGCGAATGAGTGGTCCGCGACAGCCACGTGCGACGAATCGATCACCCAAAATCGTTCCTAACGCCCGTCTCCCGGCGGTCCTGGCTCCCTCCGTTTTTGCGCTCGAAAAGGCGCCAGCCGAAGCTCTTCCAGTGTCATTATGGGCTCCCATTGTGATCGTAGAAACTGATAGAATAAATTCCTCGGACGTCCATTCTTCAGCGTTTTTGAGTATTACCACAGCAGCCCAAACGGCACGTGTATCCATAAGCCCAATGTTCTGTTGTAAAACATCCACAGTGAGCTGTGCTCGTTCTGGCTGTACTGACACATAACTTACAATTAGAACGTGGCTTCTCATCCTGATGGTGACGTGCTCCCAACTGACCACATTCGATAGTCCATTCACCAGCTATACCGTTGTGCCGCAGGCAGTCCAGAGAACTATGGCAGACATTAGACATTAGCGCGCCATGCGGTTACTTTGCGCGGCTCTTCCGGCGCAGGATTAAAACCACGGCTCCAAGATCGTCTGTGAAGAGGCTGTCCAGCCTCGCCTTAATTGCTGTAAGTTCACCGTAGAAGAACACACGTGTGCGACTGCCGCCAGACATCCATGCCATTCTTCTCAACACTATGGGCACAACGATGAGGATGCGGTTATGCACTCGGTTCAACATCGAACTTGTATCAAAATCGTTCCCTTCTATTTCTCTTGCAATCAGCCAGCCGAGCTCGAAGTTTCTTTTCAGCACCGTCGGCCAACCTCTTGTTAGCGACCCGTGGCACATGATGGAAGCTGGCTCACTGGCCGCGCAAGATGTGCCCATCACCGGGAACATCGAACTCGAGTCCCTTTCTAAAAGGAGCAAGTTGAGGAGTAGAAACCGAAATTTTTAGCCCTCTCTTCACTCTCTTCCTCCTTGTCTTCCCTGTTCACTTGTTCGTTTGGAATTTCATCTGGGCATAAGAGAAGTAAGTCATACTTAACTTTGACTGCATCTTCATTGCTGCCTATTTTAGTGATCAGCGCTGAAGTTTCGTCAGTTTGCAATACGCGATACGGCCCGTCCCAGTCTATGGTAAATTTGGGGTGTTTTTCTCGAGCCTTTTCTCGTGGCGCTTTCATGAACCCCTCCCTCCCACCGCTGGAACAGAAAGAACGTTCACGCTCTTACGCTTATCATACACTTCCTTCATTTTAGCCCTATATTTCTGAGTTGTGGCTCGTACCTCCTCTCTAATTAGCTGAAGTCTATTAAGTAAATCTGATCGATAATCGTCGACGAACACCTTGTACATGGAGGCATCAGCACTTGGCATGGTAGATGAAGGTATGACAGGGTCAATTCCATGAAGTATAAAGAAGGGGCTTCGTGTGGGGTAACGTCATATGCATAAACCACATGAGGCGGCATCACGTCCCACTTATAGGGCTCTTCCACCTTTTTCAGCATCCTTTGAATAGTTCCGATGGCACGTTCACTGACACCATATTCTCTGGAGTTATATCCATTGGTGACGGAGCGCTTAATTCCAGCCGCTGTTGCTAGCTCATCCAGCAAGGAATTCAGAAATTCCGTGCCTCGGTCAGTGTGAATATGTAAGGGCCAACGCCCTCCTTCACATAGCCAACAATTGAATAATGATGTCACGACTGTAGCCGCACTTTTGTCAGGTATTGCATATGCACCTACCCATTTGGAGGAATGGTCGACCACGACTAGCACATATTTTCTTCCCGACAGACTGGTGCTCATCTCTAGTGTGTCAGCTGCGACTATCTTGAATGGTTTGCCTGTGACAAACGGTTTCAGCTGCGGGATCATGCGCTTGTGCGGATTTGTCAACAAGCAGCTCGTGCAGCTTATTGCCCAGCGGCAGATATCGCTAGGCATACCATCCCAGAAGACAAGTTTTTGCAGTTTTTTCAGCATCTTCTTGGCGGAATGATGCCCTGCTAGAGAGCCACTATGGTTCTCGTCAAAAATTTTCCGCCTATGTTCCTTCGGAATAACTGAGACCGCTGTTCCGTCTTTTTGTAGAAACTTCAAGTGGCCTTCTTCAACTAAGGAAACGGCAACTTTAACTTTCTTTTNGTCTATTTTGCATAGACCATTTGGGATCCTTTTGTCTTTCGTGTTCAATACTGCTTCTGATCATTCTTCTTCACACTTGAGGTCCACGTATTTGGTTGGTACGGGAGCTATGAAGACTCTCTGTTTCGCAACAGCCACAGGATTCGATTCGGTTTCTTCTCGCTGTCGTGATGTCTTCTTTTCTCTCGGTCCTCGCAGGCTTTTCTTGACCTGATATCCCATTGATGGAAAAGCGTTGATTCCCAGTATGATCAAGTCCTCTTTGCCTTCGAACACCAACATTTGTACCAGAGTTTTGGCGGTGTCTCTCCTATTTACAACATCTAACTCCACTGCGGTCGAGAAATCCATAACCCTTCTCGAGGTATCTGTAAGAAGATCCTTGACAGCTACATGTGACAGCGGTATCAATGTCGATTCCATCATTCATTGCTTGCTGAAGCACTTTTGCTGGAAGGATAGACACTTCTGATCCTATATCAGGAAGCGCCTTCCTATCCCTTCCTGACATTGTCACATCGATTGTTGATCGCTTGCCAACAATGGTTGGGAGAAGCTTCCTACATGACCTTGTCTGCTTGGTACAGGCGGCACTGCACACTGCTTTGAAAACTCGTGCCGACAGNCGAATACCTCCTTATTTTTCAGAT